TCATGCTTGATGCTATGCATCATTAATGAATAGGTAACACTGAGGTGACTATTACTCCTGTCAGTTATTGCGTTAGTGAAAGTAAGTAACACGCAAAACATAATTTACATGTATTATCTGATGAATGGTTTATTGCTACAAACGTGAGCTTGTATATATAGGAGAAAACTACAAATGATGGTTTATTTCTATTAGGCAGTGCCCATACTCCAGCTGGTATTGCTGATGTTGAAGAAACTTTCCAAAACGAGCCAAAGAAAGAAATAGTCGAAAGTAAGAATAACAAGAGATATACTGGCTTAATTGATTTTCTGTTTTACGTTCAGGTCTGGCAAAGAAAGGGAAGACTGCAGTGAAGCGACATGATAAGCTAAAGGACAACCTTAGCGAATTCTATACTCCAAGTTCCAAAAAAAGAAGAACAAATTAACAATTTAACATTAATTTTAATTACTTCATTAATTAAGTTCAATTAATTTCCATTGTAAAATAAGAAATCTTTAGATCTGTAACTCAAATTCAGTGCAATCATGATTTTTAGCCTTCCCCATGGCACCATCCAAGTTATTAATAATAATTCTAGTATAGTAGCAAAAGTATTACAAATATCAATATAATCAGTGCATGTTATCTTTGATTCATGTACTTTGGGATTACAAACAATCTCTTCCAAAATGAAATGTACAATAATTTTTATAGGAACTTCAGCTCCTCCATGTTCAAATGTTGTTAAATAAACAAGATTATATTAAAAATACTGCTAAACGCTGCATGACATTTCACTCTAGGGACATGCAAGGACAGCTATATACTGAGGACACTGTGGACACTGGAGACACTGTGGACACTGGAGACACTGAGGACACTGGAGACACTGTGGACACTGGAGACACTGAGGACACTGAGGACACTGGAGACACTGGAGACACTGGAGACACTGAGGACACTGGAGACACTGGAGACACTGAGGACACTGGAGACACTGAGGACACTGGAGACACTGAGGACACTGGAGACACTGAGGACACTGGAGACACTGAGGACACTGGAGACACTGAGGACACTGGAGACACTGAGGACACTGGAGACACAGAGGACACTGAAGACCACTGTGGACACTGTGGACACCTAAGACACTGAAGACACCTAGGACACTGTGGACACTGTAGACACTGTGGACACCTAAGACACTGAAGACACCTAGGACACTGTGGACACCTAGGACACTGAAGACACCTAAGACACTGTGGACACCTAAGACACTGAAGACACCTAGGACACTGTGGACACTGTGGACACCTAAGACACTGAAGACACTGTGGACACCTAGGACACTGTGGATTCCTATAGGACACTGAAGACACCTAGGACACTGTGGACACTGTAGACACTGTGGACACCTAAGACACTGAGCACACTGTGGACACCTAGGACACTGTGGACACCTAGGACACTGAGGACACTGTGGACACCTAGGACACTGTGGACAACTAGGACACTGTGGACACCTAAGACACTGAAGACACCTAGGACACTGTGGACTCCTAGGACACTGAAGACACCTAGGACACTGTGGACACTGTGGACACTGTAGACACCTAAGACACTGTAGACACTGTGGACTCCTAGGACACTGTAGACACCTAGGACACTGAGAACACTGTAGACATCTAGGACACTGTGGACACTGTGGACACCTAGGACACTGAAGACACCTAAGACACTGAGGAAGGGGCACAATCTTGCCAGGCTAGACTAATTAGATCTATACACATGATTACACATGCTTAATTAACCAGCTCCGTATATTTCCGAAAACTAAAGATTACTAGATGGGTCTTTTCTGTCTGTAATGGCTTGTGGTAACTTACCTCGTGCCGCCATTTTGTTAATTAAAAGAAACATGTGCTCAAAAATTTGGGTGTGGTCGCGCATGCTCAGATGTCAGAGCTGGGAAAAGGGAGCAATTTTTTTTTTATCTAGCTATGCTTGGATCAACTGCAATACTTAGTGGGGGTTCCAGGCTTCCACATGTCCAGCTCCAGCTAAGAGAAGGTATTTAATCTTGGACATAAAATGATTAATAAATTGTATTTAAAAAACACAAACAATAATTATGTAAGGCAATGATCATGAACTTGACAACAGGAACAACACAGGACGGAATTGCAAGGAAGATGAATGCTCTCACTGCTTCTTGACCAAGGGCTCTTGTCAAGACTAGTATTAACTTATGCTTTCACTAAACACTGATTATGCAGTATAGAATTAACTATTGGCAATGGACACCATGCATCTGAAGAAATATTACAAATATTATAAAAAAATCAACATAAACAAGAACATAAAAAATTTAAAAAAAACAAG